GTGTGAGAGCCTTTATATATAAGCCATCCTATGACGAAGCCAGTAATAAGGCCCGTAATAATAGGGATAGGAAGGCCGGTGGGATCTTGGCTGTAACCAATCTATAAAATGATAGAAGCATAAACAAAATGCTAACACGTCATATCAACAAATGTAATAGGTATAATAGTATAACAAATACCCCAGCAATAAATACAACTGACTCCAATGCTTCGCGGCAAATGACAGTGAAAGGTAGAAATATTAGTGCCCATTTGTTTCCTTTTTCATGTCGTGCGAGATATGATTCGGTTGCACCTTGGAGTTTGTTTTCCCATTTTTGTTTCCATTGCTGAACACGAATCATACTTAGTGACATTAAAGTTATAACGATAGAGGCAAAAAGAGCAAAGGAACCCTCTATATTAAAAACCAAAGTCATGTGATTAAATAAATACGTATGATATGAAAGTATTTGTGATGAACTCACTCACCCCACGCAGGCTCACTCTCTTCCCATAAATTTTTAGCAACAGTGTAGAAAACAGCAATAAAAATTCCACCAATGATCAGTGAAACCAATAATCCTAACAATGATCCGATCCATAGATGTTTTCTCAACTGCTTCTTCAATGCAATATCTTTGTCTTCGGGTAAAAGTTTGTCAATAAAGCCTAGGAGTACAGCAAGGATGATCGTAACTTCAAGCGTTTCACGCAAGATAATAAAGTAAGCAGGGATGTCGAATAGATAAACCATATTTTAATATTTAGTTCGTAAGCTTAAGCGTAAAAAATGGGTTGTGAGTGTATTGAATTGTAAACGTAAAAAAGCGTATCGTAAAAAAATGTGTCGTGAATTGTCTGCGTGGGTGGAGACATGAGGAACAAAATTCGAAATTCGAAACATGGCTTTTTTATAATTTATCCATTCGCAAAGAAAATTTTATCTGATTTCTCGACGAAATCTTATTTGTTCGGAAACAAGATGCATATAAGAATAATGTATATTTTACTAAAATTAGATTTACTTTTCTATCTAGCATTGTAATAATATTCATGTGATATTCAAGATTTCTCAATATATTCAAGATTTCTCAGTGTTACAGTAGCAATAAAATTTTTGATATAGTATTCTGCCTATAGAACATGATGTTTCAGGTTTTATTCTGCCAAAATTAAATGCGCTTCCGTACTAAAAAAAATTGAATTTAGATAATAATAATAATTTTTAAAAGATTTTCAAAGGTTGTACGTATGAACAATTTTGCGATTTTGTACACCTATGTGCAACATGTTCTTGCATAATTTCAGAACGAAATCATCCGAACTATTCAAAATTCCAGAATCTGATAATACTTATCAGATCATAAATTTCCTTTTAAAACTTTCATCGTAAAAAATAGAAATGATCATTATTGTTTATATTCAACTTAATCTTAAAATGGCTTATCAGATTCTGAGCACTTTATTAGGCTAACATGGATCTATGTATTCGTTACGATTGTTCACGTTTACACAGCATTTATATACGTATCTGATAATCAATTCAAAGAATTTACAATAGAACGATGGGTCTTGATAAGCTGTCATTCTAGAAAAAAAAAAAAAAAATTTCCTGAAGGCTGAAGCACTTTGACAAATACATAAATTATCTACCTTATTCTCTAAATTTGTATATTTACTGATTCAACCATTTAAAATAACATTTATTATTCTTATCATTACATATCCACGAGGAGGATGCATCATTATATATAAATTTTCTACTTCTATTGAGGTGCGTCAAATTGGGTTAAATAATGGGAAAAATGGTTGATTCCAGCGTCACCAGTAATCGAGGACGCAGCCATATTGAGTTAGACGCGTTATCGAGGCCCAAAATTTTTTTTCAGTTTTAGCATTGATCGATTAATATGTACTTTGGTAAATTTGAAGGATAAATATTTTTAATTGACTTGCCTTGACTTTACACTAAGAATTTATAATTAAGTTCACGCCACCTATGGAATTTTAATTAGTACTAAATTAGTACTTACAATATATAACACATAACTATTGTGACATATCCGAAAGTACTTCGGCAATGACTTTTTGTATGAATTACCGGAATTTTTCGGCGATTTGTTGTAACAATGCCGATCATCTACGTCGTCATATGAACACTACGTACGCACCTACGTTTCCATAATTATGGAATCAATTTTATTCTTAAAAAAAAGTTGAGTTTACTTACCGTTTATACAGCATGATTAAAAATCCTATGATTGGCTAAAAAAAATAACAAATAGAAACAATATTAACAATATAAAAAATTAGGTGAATTTACATCTAAGAGCCCGAAAATGAAAATAATTGTAAATAGGGGCCCAAAGTGAAAATAATTAGATATAAGGACCCAAACTTTAAAAAATATTTCAGTCAAGGGTCCAAATTTATCGTAACTAATTAGATTGCAAGTCTTAACATTTAAAATTATATCGGGTTAGTGAAAAGTAACTGGATAGTGAACTTTTTTTAATTATGATGATAATTTTTTAACGCCCTTTTTTAATCATGATTATTATTTTATTTTAATGCCCTTTTTTTTCATTGATATAAATTAGAAATTAATGTAATTAAAAATAAGTTATAACTCATAATTTTAATGGGAATAGTAAAAAAGGTCACTGACCAATTACTTTTCACCAACCCGGTATATATTCAATAGTTAAAACGTATTACTTTTTAATCAATATTGCATTTTATCCTCTTAGCGCCTTGAATGTAAAAATTAAAACTTTTTTGCCAACTTTTAAAAGTAATTCAACTTTCTCTACGAATATAATAAGTTTTTGATTTTAAATATCTTCGATTCACGTGTAGTAACCTTACGAAAATGTGATTCATGTTTCATATAGGATAGACTTTCAGTTTAAAACCGTATAAATATTAAAATATTGATAAATATCGTGCTTAACTAGTCGAACTGTATCTTGGTTAAAAGAAAGTTTCATTAAGCGAAAGAGGATATAGTATAAAATGTATAAAGTAACAAATATATACAGTGATAACGTTCAAAGAACCACATCGTCATAACGCAAAGTTATTTTGCCTTTACTTGTATGATAATATCTTTCTAAATTTGGACCCTTATATGTAAATTCCCCCAAAAATTATCCAATCTGAATTTTGATTTTGTGAGAAATTCGGATCCGAAATTGGATTAGATAAATTTTTATATTGTTTATATTGTTTTTATTTTAGCTACAGTACCGGGCAAAAAACATCCAATATTTATATATAAAATATGAACATCGTTATAACTCAAGCCCAAATAACTTTAAAAAAACCTGTCTTACAGATTTGTTGCTTTTAAACTGAGTTACAATTCTGTAAGAATAGATTTTTATTTATTTTGTAAGTTTTAAAAGTTATTACAGCTTAAAGTTTATATGTAATCAAAAATTTGGCGTTTACTATATAAAAAAAAGCCATCTATATATTTTTTTAACCAATCAGAATTAATTATACACAAATTAACCAATCAGAATTGATTACATAATCCTCAAATTTGGCGTTTTTGAAAAAAAATTGGATTTTTGTTTATGCTTGTTCAACTATTAAAAAGAATGTTGCCTAAAGTAAGCTGTGGACGTTTTTCTAAATAAATTACACCATTTAGTGCTTTTTCAAATGCTAATGGGTAATAGTATGAAAGATATGATCCGGTTACTTTTTTAGTTGGAAGCATCTGTTTGTGTGATGTATTTGATCTGACAACGCTTATACAACAAGAAATGATATAAGAAATAAAATATGAAAAGTAGTTGATTAATAATGTGTCTCGATTTTAATATTAACGAAAATTTTATAATATGCTCTATTTAAAATATAATATATTAACTATGCTAGTGTTTTCATTTTCATTAATGAAGAGGTAAACGGTAATGCGATTATTGCAGTAAAAATTTGAGCAAATAATAATTGTGGCAGATTAAAATGAAATTCAGATTAAAATGAAATAATAATATAAAATCTCGAAAATAATTTTTTAGGGTTAGGGATTAGAATTAGGGGTTAGGATTAAAGTAAAATATATTAAACAAGTATAAGTGGGTTTTAGAAGGTTAGGAAGTTGAATAGAAAATGTAGATTTCGTTTTAAATTATGATCTGCGACAATAATTAGGATTTGATTCGAATCCTGTTTAAAGAAATTTTTATTAAACCAGTTAGTTAATTATGTTTTGATTTATGAATTAAATCCATATCTGCCAAATTAAATATAAATAGGCTTTATTCAATAGAAAAGATAAGATCTGAAAAATGTTTTTATATTAATTAATTTAAATATAATTAGGAACATTGTTTGTTAGAAGTTGAAAGTCTATTTTTTATAAAATTTACACTATATTCGTAATAATAACCATTTTTATATTATAAATCTACCAATTGATTGATTATCAATTTTATACAGTTTTGTAGTTACATTATATAAAGAACAATAGTACCGTAAAAGTGCATATACAAGACCCGGTTCCGGCACATTCCACCAATTTTAAAATCTTAATAGACCCGGAGGCCTGTTGTATAAACATTGGTCTGATAATCGGAGAGACTTTTATGTGGGGAAATCAAAATTTTATTGAATTTATGTAATACATACAGTCAGACCTCTTTAAGTGCACCTACATTCTCTAAATGCATGCTTAGATACTGGCCCTAATGTATACTTGACATCTATAAATGCACTTGTTCTTATTACTCTCTAAATGCTCATTGTTAAAGTGTGGTCCCAAGAGCGTGTACTTAGAGAGGTTTGACTGTATTAGGTATATTCTAATATCATACCTGGGTCTTTAATCATTGTTTTCTATAATATATCAGTGTTTTTTCTATATTATGGCCCCGGGTCTGATTCACAGTGGGTTCACTATTTTGGTGGGGTCTTGTATATGCACTTTTATGGTAAGCTTTTTATTTTGAATCAAAGTTTTTACAAACACTTAGCTAATAGATCAAATATAGTAAGGTGGCTTCAGTATTTGTGTTTCTAGAAACTTTGCTGAGAGTCGCTATACTATATTTGATCTAGCAGAATTTCCAGACACGCATAAATACTATACTACAAGTCACTCTCGTTATAGTGAACCTCTTGTTATAATGAAGAACATAGAGCACTGCATAAAGTATCTCCCAAAAATAATACCCTACCACATAAAATACCCCTTCTCTACCAATAAAATCACTGGGTTCGTGAATAGTACCCGGTACTATTCAATTTTAAAAATGAGGTTCTTGAATAAACCCCGGGTACTAGTGTTTCGATCCGAATCCGACTGTCTGAATTGATTCTTAAATCTAGATAAATTCAGATATTCAGATTA